ACACACACAAAAAATTCTTATAAAAAATTATCTTAACATATAACTTCTTCTTAGAAGAGCAATCTCTATTTTTGAAAGACAGTTTTTCATCAGTAGGTTAAAAATCAGTTAAAACTATCTCTGCTGTTTTAATCTCTATGAACTTGAGACATAAATTACAATTTAGTAAAGAATTTCAGTTATTAAAATTTATTTTACTCCGAGTAACTGAAACCTATTTTATTTTGTTTCCATTAGCATTTTTATTTGTTTTGTTTCTGTGGTTGAATTTTATCTCTACTAATGTTTATGTGGTTTATTTATACAGTTTTTAATTTGTCACTAAGATTTAATTAACTTAAGTTTGGGAAGTGAGTAGACTATAACCAGGTTTCAGATATGACAGCTTTCTAGTTTTAGTACATTTATTTTATTTTATTTTATTTTATTTTTTGACTGAGTACACGGGACTTTATTGATGGTACAAGGTGGGGTTCCCTAAGCCCCTCGATTCTTCAGGGGATCTTGCATGAACACTATGAGGAGGGGAGATTCTCACTGTGGTTGGGAACTGAGTGTGACAGGGACTCCCCAGCAGCTGAGGGTCTCTCTTTCCCTCTCATGCTCTTGCTGGAGTTGGTGGTCTGAGGACTCTTACTCTTTGGAGGCCGTGTGGACCATGAGGTGCACCACCCTGCTGCTGTAGCCAAATTTATTGTCATACCAGGAAATGAGTTTGACAAAGTGGTCATTGAGGTAAGTTCCAGCCCCATAATTGAAGGTGGAAGAGTGGGTGTCACTATTAAAGTTGGAGGATACAACCTGGTGCTGAGTGTAGCCCAGGATGCCTTTGAGGGGGCCCTTCACCCCCTTTTGATGTCATTATGTTTGGTGGGTTTCTCCAGACAGCAGGTTAGGACCATGAGGAACACATTTGTGGTGGGGACACAGAAGACCACATTTAAGAAATTCTGAGTTAATTTGGATTTTGGAGGCATATTGACTGGGAATGAAATGGAGCCTTATTTCATTGGCTGTAGACTGCAGTATAGTACCCTACATACTTTTAGTCTTCTAATTCATCCATGTTCTCCCTCTCTTTGTGGACTTTGTGTATGAGGTTCCTCTGCTCAGAAAGGCTTTTTTTCTTTCTTTTCGCTTAGCAGGTCCTTCTGGTATTGTTTCAGGCATCATTTGTTTCAGAAAGCCACCTCTGGACTGGGCTCGGTGGCTCAGCCTGTAATCCCTCGCTTTGGGAGGCTGAGGTGAGTGAATTGCCCGAGCTTGCGGGTTCAAGACCTGCCTGGGCAACTTGGCAAAACCTCATCTCTACAATAAATAAAAAAATCTGCTGGGCATGGTAGCGCATGCCTGTAATTCCGGCTACTCGGAAGGCTGAGGCGAAAGGATCGCCAGAGCCCAGCAGCAGGTTGAGGCCGTGGTGGCCGGGAGCGGCCACTGCACCCCAGTCTGGGCGACAGATTGAGATTCCAACTCAAAAAAAAAAAAAAAAGAAAGCCACCTCTGATCCTGTTGACTGGGCTATATGTCTCTCGTGCATTTTTGTACTTTCCTTGTGCTTTTCTGTGGTAACACACATCACTCTGTAATGCAATTGACTATTCTTGTCTGTAAGCATGGAGGAGATACCCTTGTTCTTACTCATCTTTGTATCTTGGGTGCTAAGTACAAAGTCAAGAAGTAGCTAAGTCACGATCCAATTATACATGTTTGGATGCTGAGGATGAGTCTTTTTTTCTCTATAGCAGATTCCTTTTCTCTGTCCTGAACCCTTAAGCAGTCTGTTACATATTTTCAATATTCCAAAAAGTTTAGTGGAAAATATAAATTTACTTCCCTGTAGCCTGGCTGTACAAGCAGAGTAAAACACCGAGTTTCACTGCTTCTGCTTGGAACTGTGTCAGCTAGGGTCACATTAATTATCCATGCTCATCCTAAGTTCCTCTGTGATTCCTTTGATGGATTTGTAAAGGTTATATATGAGTCAGTGCAGTGTAATGAATTAAATTCCAGGAAGAAGAGCTAGCAGTTAACATGTTTGGGTTCATCACTATCTTGGTTTATAATTATTAGCAATTTCACATTGAAATTACATTATTGTATGTCCAGGTGCTGTGGCTCATGGCTGTAATCCCAATGCTTTGGGAGGCTGAGGTGGGAGTATCACTTCAGGCTAGGAGTTTGAGACTAACTTGGGCAGCATAGACCCTATCTCTACCAAAAAAAAAATTTTTTTCAAAAAATTAGTTCAGTGTGATGGCACATTCCTGTAGTCCCAACTACTTCGGAGGCTGAGGTGAGAAGATCACTTGAGCCCAGGAGTTCAAGGCTTCAATGCCACCACTGGGTGAGACCCTCTCTCTTAAAAAAAAAATTATATTATTGTAAAGTACAGAAAATCCTTCTCTTTAGAAAGGATAAATTCATGGCTACCAAAAAAAATCTGAATTATCTCTCTTTTAATGTAGTAACACTACTTTAAAGTTTTAATTTTTAAAAAATAGAGATGGAATCTTACTGTGTTGCCCAGTCTGATCTCAAACTCCTGGGTCCAAGTGATCGTCTCACCTCGGCCTCCGAAAGTGCTGGGATTATAGGCATGAGCCACCATGCCCAGCCTAATTAGTAACTCTACTTTTTTTTTTTTTGAGTGGAGTCTCACTCTGTCGCCCAGACTGGAGTGCAGTGGCCGCTCCTAGCCACCGCAGCCTTGACCTTGCTGGGCTCCGGCGATCCTTCCGCCTCAGGCTTCCATTTAGCTAGAACCACAGGCATGCGCTACCATGCCTGGCTTATTTTTTGATTTATTGTAGAGATGAGGTCTCGCTGCCCAGGCGGGTCTTGAATCCGCAGGCTCAGTCAATCCACTCATCTCAGCCTCCCAAAGGTGTGTGATTACAGGCTGAGCCACCGAGCCCAGCTAATAACTCTACTTTTAATGTGTCTGTAAAATCTTTCTTTATACAAAGAGCAAATTGTGTTTGTGAATTTTAACCAAATATTTAAGTTTTATTGTTTTATTTTGTTACGAAATTGTATATTTTGTTGTAGAACCATTTGGGAATGACTGGAACAAAACAACCATTTATGGAAGACTTGTGAGCTTTATCTTACTTGTTTCTTATCTCTGAGTCCTAGCACTCCGTACTGGGCCTGGCATGTAGTTCGGGTTTAGGAAACATTTATTAGTGAATGAACACGAGTTTCCTGGGCTCAGTGGCTTTATTGTTACATGTTCTGAGCATGCCAAGGAGTAGAAGACATGCTTCTGTTTTCTTTTTTTAAAATTTTTATTTTATTTTATTTTATTTTTTGAGTTGGAGTCTCACTCAGTCACCCAGGCTGGAGTGCAGTGACTGCTCCTGGCCACCGCAGCCTCGACCTGCTGGGCTCTGGCAATCCTTCCGCCTCAGCTTTCCAAGCAGCTGGAACTACAGGCACGCACTACCACACCCGGCTAATTTTTTTGATTTATTGTAGAGGTGAGGTTTTGCCAAGTTGCCCAGGCGGGTCTCGAACCCATGGACTCAGGCAATTCACTCACCTCGGCCTCCCAAAGTGCGGGATTACAGGCTGAGCCACTGAGCCCGGCCTTTAAAAAAGTTTTTTTTTTTTAATCAATATTTTTCATTTTGATATTGTGGGGTACAGTTAAGGGTTAGGTATACAAATATGCTTCATTTAGGCCCCCTTGTTGATAACAGGTACCTCCCTATCCCCAGACAGATGTTTACTACCATTAGTTCCACCCCCCGCCCATGGTTTCCCACCACTGTCAGTCATTTTCTTATGGTAGTGCGTTGGATGATCAAGGTCACTATATGAGTGAGAATATGTGATACTCAGATCTTTGTTTCTGTGAGAGGTCACTCAGTATTATAGACTATAGCTCCATCCAGGTTGCTGCGAAATTCATGATTTTGTTCTTTTTTATGGCTGCATAGTATTCCATCGTGTATATTTACCACATTTTTTTTTAATACAGTCCTCTTTTGATAGACAGCGTGGTTGGTTCCAGGTTCTTGCTATTGTGAACAATGCTGCGATAAACATTCGTGTGCAGGTATCTTTTTTATAGAGTGATTTGAGTTCTTCAGGGTATATTCCCAGTAGGGGGATTGTGGGGTCATATGGGAGGTTGATGTTTAGAACTTTTAGAAATCGCCACACTGCTTTCTACAGAGGTTGCACTAGTTTACACTCCCACCAACAGTGTAGGAATGTTCCCTTTTCGCCACACCCTCTCCAACAGCTATTATTTTTTGAGTTATTGATAATTGCCATTCTGACTGGAGTTAGGTGGTATCTCAGTGTGGTTTTGATTTGCATCTCCCTGATGATTAGTGAGGTTGAGCATTTCTTCATGTGTTTGTTGGCAAAAAATTTTTAATAGTTTTAGGGGTACAAATGGTTTTGGGTTATGTGGCTGCTTTGTGTATAGTAATGACGACGTCTGGGCTGGAAGTGTACCCATCACCCCATCAGTCCACACTGTACCCAATAGGCGATTTTTCATCCCTCCCCCTTCTCATCCTCCCCTTTCTGAGTCTCCAGCGTCCTCT